TCTTACATTTAGGTCTTTGATCCATTTTTAATTAATTTTTGCATGTGGTATGAGGTAGGATCCAAATTCATTCTTTTAAATGTGGATATCCAGTTGTCTCAGCACCATTTGTGGAAAAGACTGTTCTTTCTCCATCGAGTGGTTTTGGCAGCCTTAGCAAAAACTAGTTGACTATAAAAGTAGTGGTTTATTTCTGAACTCTAAGTTCTCCTCTATTGATCTGTATACCCTATGCTGCACTATCTTGGTTACCATAGCTTTGTAGTAAGTTTTAAAATTGAGAAGTGAGAGTCGTCCAACTTTATTCTTCTTCTTCAAGATTGTTTTGGGTGTTCCATAAATAGTCAAAGGTTCCTTAAATTTCCATGTGAATTTTAGGGTCAGCTTGTTAATTCTGATTAGAAGGCAGTTGGGATTTTGGTAGGGATTGCATTCAGTCTGTACGTCAATTTGGGAAGTATTGCCATTTTAACAATATTAAGTCTTCCAGTCCATGGATATCTTTCCATTTGCTTAAGTCTTCTTTAATCTCCTTCAACAATGTTTTGCACTTCCTTTGCTAATTTGTTACTATTTTTGATGCTACTATAAATGTAATTGTTATCATAAGTTTTTTCTCAGGTTGGTTTTTTTGCTAGTGTATACAAATGCAGTTGATTTTTATATATTGATCTTGTTTCCTGCAACCTTACTGAACTCATTTATTAGATGTAATAGTTTTCTTGTGTTGATTCCTTAGGATTGTCTTTGTGTAAAATCACATCCCCTGCAAATAGAGATAGTTTTACTTCTTCCTTTCCAGTATATATGCCTTATATTTCATTTTCTTGCCTAAGTGCCTTGGCTAGAACCTTGACAGTATAGTGTTAAATAGTGTTGTCCCTGATCTGGGGCAGGGGTGGGGAGGTTGTTCACCATTGAGTATGATGTTAGCTGTGAGGTTTTGTAGATGCCATCTATCGGATTGACAGAATTGACTTCCATTCCTAATTTGTTGACTGTTTTTATCATGAAGAGGTATTGGATTTTGTCAGATGCTTTTTCTGCATCTGTTGAGATGATTGTGTAGTTTTTGTCTTTTGGTCCTTTGATGTGGTGTATTACAGTCACTAATTTTTTATTTTAAACCAACCTTGCATTCTTGGAATAAATCCCACTTGGTCATGGTATATAGTCCTTTTTATACATTGGTGGATTCCATCTGTTAACATTTTGTTGAGGATTTTTGTGTCTATATTCAGTATTTACTGATTATTTAAAAACAATATTTAAGAAAATTTAAACATAAAAAAATCTAAAAAACAATATGACAGATACATGTTTCCTAATTTAGCCAGTGCCTAAAAATCACATGTAACTTTTTGTCTTATTTTTTTGGCATGAATTTTTTCACTCTCCTTGCTCACCCCCCCTTCTACTCCCTCCTCTCTCTTCCCCTCTCTCCTGAGAAGTAAAGTGTTAGAGTTCAGTGCTGGCCATGATGGAATAAGCCGCCTACAGGCTTTCTCTCCTGCTGATGACAGGTAAAAACTCGGGATAAAATATTAAAAACAATGCAAAGCCAATAGATTGGGAAGGGTATTCGAAACTTGGAGCAGTGACCACGTAAGTATGAGTTTTCCACTTTTTAACATCTTTTTCCCATTTGACCTTTGAGCATGGGCCAGCTATCCACTATGGGGCTGTGCTGTGAGAATTGCTGCACATACAGCAAAAACTCTGAGAGAAACCCCTGTCTTTCTGCCTAGAGGAACTGTGGAAAGGGGCCCCTGTAAGCAGAAGCATGTAAGGGAAAGGCAAAAGAACCAGAATACTCAGAACAATTTTGAAAAAGAAGAACAAAGTTGGAGGGCTTGCTCTATCGGATATCAAGACTTACTATGAAGCTGTAGTCAAGACTGATATTGGCAGAGGGATAGGTACATAATAATCAACTGGACAGAATAGACGCTCCCAAGATAGACCTACACAGATATGGCCATTAACTTTTGACCAAAGTGCAAAGGCAGTTCAGTGGAGAAAAGATAGTCTTTTCAACAGGTGGTATTGGAATAATCAAACATCCATCTGCAAAAAAGGGAAGCTCAAATATACCTTGCACATTATATTAAAAATTATATAATAGTAATAAATAATTTATAAAAATTATAAAATACATAAAAATCCATCATACACTGAAAGTAAAACCTAAAATTTTAGAACTTGTAGAAGAAAACAGGAAATCTTTGTCATCTTGAGTTAAGCAAAGCATTGTTAGATATGACATCGAAAGAATGATCCATGAAAGAAAAGTGAGGAGCGCCTGGGTGGCTCAGTCAGTGAAGCGTCTGCCTTCAGCTCAGGTCATGGTGTCAAGGTCCTGGGATCGAGTGCCGTGTCAGCCTTCTTGCTTAGCAGGGCGTCTGCTTCTCCCTCTGCTGCTCCCCCTGCTTGTGCTCGCTCTTTCTCTCTGACAAATAAAATCTTTTAAAAAAAGAAAGAAAAGTTGAGCTAGCCTGCATCAAAATTTAAAACTTCTGTGCTCCTACAATGGTAAGAGAATGAAAGACAATTCACAGATTGCGAGCAAATATTTGTAAATTACATACCTGACAAAGGACTTTTAACCAGAATATATAAAGAACTCTCAAAACTCAACAATACAAATAACTCCCTCAAAAATAAAAGATTCTAACAGACACTTTGCCACAAAAGGTACACAGATAAAAGGCACATGAAAATACCCGATTATCAGTAGGGAAATGCCACACAAGATACACTACACATCTATTAGCATAGCTAAAATTAAAAGTTAACTTTTTAAAAAATCCTACCAAACTTAATTGCTGGGGAGTATGAGGAGCAATTTGCAATTTTCACACACTGCCAGTAGGAGTACAAAATGGCACAGCTCCTTGGATGAGTACTTTGGCAGTTTCTTATAAAGTGAAACATGCATTTACCCAGCAGATGCATTCTGAGGTATTTACCCAAGAGAAATAAAAACGTGTTTACACAAATACTTGTGTGCAAATAGTTATAGTGGCTTGCTTTATAATCACCCAAAACTAGAAACAACCCACGTTTTCTAGCTAGTGAATGGATGAACAAAGGGGTCCATCCATACAGTAGTATTAACTACATAGCAGTAAAAAATATATTATTGATACTCCCAAAACATGGGTGAATCTCAGGCGCATCATGCTGATTGAAAGAAGCCAGACTCGGAAAGTTCCATGGGGTATGAGTCCATTTATGGGACAGTCTGGAAAGGGCAAACTGATGGTGACAGAAAACATGAATGGTGTCCAGGATTTGGGGTGGAGGAAGGCTTGACCACAGAGGGTATGCTGGGGGACAGAACTGCATTGTGACTTTGGTCATGGTTACACACCTGTGTGCATTTGTCAAATATAGACCTGCACACCAGAAGGGGTGATCTTTATGTAAGCTTTAGGAAGTTAACAAAGTGAGAAATAAATTCTAGAAACATCAGAAAGCTAAAGCCCCATTCTCACCCCAGCTCCCACCCCTCCTTGCCGAGGTCATGGCAGTGCTGTCGTGAAATTGGTGAGTGCCAGCCTTGCTTGCTCCCCTGTTCTTACTGTGCATGTTTGTATAATCACGCTGTGTTCTAAACGTTTATATAAATGGTACAATAGTACACGTATTGTTTTTGCACCATGATTTATTTCTCTCAGTATTGTGTTTCTGAGTTTGATACATGCCTAGATCTATTTCATTTATCTTCACTTCCTGTCTCCGTCGCTTGGCCGCCATCACAAAACCCCGCGGACCGGGCCTTCAACGACAGACCGTTGTTTCTCACGGTTCTGGAGGCTGAAGTCTGAGATCGAGGTGGCGGCCTGCAGATGGTCACCTTCTCGCGGGGTCGCCAGGAGGCCAGCGACCTCTCCCCTCTCCTCCTCTTCTGTGAGGACACGGATCCCATCTGGGGGATCCCTCACCTCACCCCCGCCTGAGGGCCCCCCCGCCGATGCCATCCCGCAGGGGGTTAGGGCTTCCACGGAGGAGTTTGGGGGACGCATTCAGTTCTTAGCACATTTAAACAACTCATTTAGTGTTTCATAATAGAGTGTTTTTGACATTTATTAAAATAAACTACACCAGTGCATATCCTGTGCGTCTTATTCCCTTGTCCACACACCTGAGGCTACACCCAGAAATGGAGTTCCCACCTTGTACAAGGGGTGTGCACACCACATTTTACTAAAAATTTTTGTCTTCATATGAGTGTAGCGTCCTTTACATTCCCACGACCTCATCACTCTTGACAGGCTTTTGTAGACCTTAGTGGTACCTCATTGTTTTCACTTATATTTCCCTAGTTGCTAATGAAGCTGAATATCTTACATGCTTGTTCTCAATTTGTTTTTCTTGTCCAGAAATTGCAGTAAGCCTCTCCTTTATCTGTTTCTGGAGGTGGGGCTCATTTTTGTTTTGTCTTGTCCTTGTGACGGGGTGGCACCCTGTTTTAGTCCAAGCCTCTGGGACTTGGTCCTATAGAACATCCCACATTAGGCTACAGCAGTACCACCCTGAACACGCCCAGTTTCGTCAGGTCTCGGAAGCCAAGCACGGTCGGGCCTAGTTAATACTTGGATGCAAGAATATCCCACATTTAGGATGAAAGTGTCTAACAGTGCAGTGGTCTGGTGTTGGGGTCAACAGTTTCAGGCTGGTGACGCAGCGTGTAGAGTGCCTACCATGTGTCTATGTGCTTTCTCTCGTTCTCCCATTTCTAGAAGGGAGGCAGGCACTGAGCGTGGCTCCTAGATGACAGTGCTCAGCAGTGAAGTGGTGCTCTTCCTGCAGGCTGGAAATACAGGGGCCTCCTGGGAGAGGACCGGTGGCAGAGTGGGTCCTTCCAACCACCACTAAGCCCCCGTCGGGAAGGGCATCCTGCCCTCAGGCACCAGCCCACCCTGTGTCGCAGCAGAAGGCAGCAGGGGTAGGCCCCGGCGGCACTCTGGCCTGCTCAGACCTGTGCTTCTTCCCAGGCCCCACCATGTCCGAGCCCCAGAGCCCAGAACCGGCCCTCATTATACAGGGAGACTCCCCCACGGGCACGAGGGATGAGGACGCTGCTGACGGGATCCAGCACTCACACCGCATGCTCAGCTTCAGTGATGCACTCCTGTCCATCATTGCCACTGTGATGGTCCGTGTGGGGCCCCACCCAGAGCCCCTCTCACAGCAGGACCCCTGGCCACCCCCTCTTAAGACAGTCTTCTGGTAGAGCTTGGCCCAGTTCAGACCCTGCCCTGTCTCAGCAGTGTCCTGGGGTCTCCCGGCCACTCAGGCAGCTGGGTGGGTGAGGGGAGCAGTCCAGCACTGGCCCAAGTCCCTGACACCACAGCATCCAAGGAGTGGTCTGTGCACAGCCCAAGAAATGTCCCTTGGTTCTTTTTGTGTCTTTGCTCGTAGATCCTGCCTGTGACGCACACGGAGATCTCCCCAGAACAGGTACTTGGGGACCACAGTCTGCAGCATCCAGGGTGAGGGTGAGGGTGCAGGAGACTCAGTCCATAAGCCCAATTCTAGGCTCCACCCAAGATGTGCCTGGCTGGGAGGGCTGGGGCGAGGTCGTCTTCTGCTCCCTCGGCCACCCTGGTCGGCCCCAATCCTGGCCTGCAAATAGGGTCAGTGCCCTCAAAGTGAGCCTTAAGGGTGGGCTGAGAATAGAAAGTGCAGTAGCGCATCTGGTTGTGGGCCTGGAAACCTGTTCCTTGCTCCCCCGGAGTGTCTGTCACAGTAGATGGTGACTACTGGGCCAGGGGCCTCCTCAGTGCACAGGGGCACATGGGTTTTATCAAAGAAGTGAGTGGGAAACAGTTTTCTAAAGCAGAGTTTCCATTTGTATTAAGAGAATATTTGTTTTATAAGTTGTGACACACAAGCACCTCAAAAGCTAGACACGATTTCAGAAGACTCTTGAAAGTCCCCAGGCATGCCTGTGTGAGCGTGCCTCGCTCAGCCCCTCAGTGTGAACGGGGGCGTGGTTGGGGCACGGAGGAGTGAGGGTAGGAGGTGCTGGGGCTGCTGGGCCCGCCAGCTGCCGTCTGGGCTCCAGGCCCAGCCTAGCACGCTTAGCCTGGATGCTGTTGGGAATCACAGGAGCTGCTTAGACTTTGTCTTTTGCATCTCTGGAAGAGTGGTACCTCTGGTAGGGTTTTGAAGAGAATTAAGTAGAAATGCAGGTCTAGCCTGGTAGCAGCAGTGGCCAGGTGGAGGGCCTGGTGCCACTCTGCTCCCTAGCTGCCCTCTTGAATGGCGGCCTGCTACCCACTGGGGCCCTGGTGCTCACCTAGCTGTGCTTGCCCTAGAACCTTCTCTGGGGAGGGCCTGGGCCTGGGCCGGGTCAGAGACCTCAATGCCACCAATTTCAGAATGGGGTGTGGATGAGGGGCGACTTGGGGCTCAGTCGGTTGGACGTCTGACTCTTGGTTTTGGCTCAGGTCCTGACTCGCAGATGGTGAGATCAAGCCCCACGTCGGGCTCTGCGCCCAGTGGGGGAGTCTGCTAGAGATTCTCTCCCTCTGCCCTTCCCATCCTGCGTGTGCTCGCTCTCTAAAAAAATAAAATCTTTAAAAAAGAGAGATTGGGGTGTGGATGTGTGACAGGAGATGCCAGGTGGCACAGGAAGGTGTATGCAGTAAACCTCACTTCTCTGCAGTTGGGGTCATCTTTTTGGAGAGCAGTACTTGTCGCTGTGAAATCTCTGTGTGTGTAAGCTGGTTCGTGGAGAAGCTCTGAGCCAGAAAGTTGTGCGGCAGTCTGGGGGCGCCCACAGAGAGGACAGTGCTGGAAGGTGTCAGCTAGCAGGCACTCCTCCCGACTTGAAGGGAAAGACTAGTCAAGGCCAAGAAAACCTAGCAATTCAGAAACTCGGTGTCCTCAGTGAAGTACTGGGATATTGGGTGAGACACCCAGTTGCAGGTAAAGAACCAGAGAAAAGAGTAGAGCGATTAGTTTTCCACTTTGAGTTTTTGCTGATAAAGTCCAAGCTTTGTGTCCAGCTCATTTCCATTTTCCCCATCATGCTTGCAAGTCACTTCCCACCTGGGGGAGGTGCCTCCACGACCTCCCCAGGCTTCATAGCTACGTCAGATTGGGATACCTGGCAGTTCGGTTGGCTCTCTGCTCTGGACAAAGAGTCTCTGCCTCAAGAGCTGTCATTTCAGGGGGAAGCTCCACACGGGATCCCCAAATAGGCACCTGTGGGATGTGGGGCATGGGTGGTGTGGAGCAAGGGGAGGGGGCTGGGAGGCTACCCCGAAGAGGGGCCTCTTCTCAGCAGGGAGGGGCTGGGGTAGAGGCCGATCCAAGGACCCTTCACAGGCCCTGCATGGGGCTGCCCTCTGGCTGCCGCAAAGTCAAGTCTCTGATGCTGACGCTCTTCTCTTCTGCCAGTTTGACAAAAGTATACAGAAACTTCTAGCAACCAGGATTGCTGTTTATCTGATGACATTTCTCATCGTGACTGTGGCCTGGGCAGCACACACAAGGTACGGAGTCAGGCTGGGGCCTTTTTCCAGACTGAGATCCACTTCTTTGTGGCTCCCTGGATGTGTGTGCCCTGTGGCTACAGGCCTCCGCTTGCTTGCCTCCACATGACACAGCGTCTCCCGCTCCCACAGGCACACACGCTGGGCCTCGACCCAGCACGGGGCAGGGCAAGGGCAGGACTGCAAGCAGACTGCCCTATGCGTCCCCGTGGCGCTGCACCATGCATGCACACTCCCTCTGCCCGGTCCCAGGACTCCAGCGAGGAGGAAGAGGCTGTGCAATGCACACTCCCAAGCCAGAGCCTTCTTTTCGGGAGGAAAGGTTCCTGGGGATCTGCCAGGGCTGCAGGGGACCCCTGACCCCCAGGTGGGGCAGGAGGGCTCTCAGGAAGAGCGTTGGGGTGGGATGTGAGCACGGATGCCCTCCATTATCAGTCTGCCCTTGCAGAGGAAATACTTCTGGTTGGGGAGTGCCGGGCGAACAGGGAGACTTGGAGCCCTTCAGACGTGGGCGCTCGCGTTGACAGTGTCTTAACATTTTACGTTACAAACTTGTTTTCAGCGAGTTGACCGTTTCTGGCGGGGACAGGCGGCCCTTCGTAAGGGCTTAGGGAAGGGCGTTTCCCTTCCACCTCAATTATCCACAGAGAGTGAGAAGCTACAACCACCCTCTGTCTGGTTTTGCTGGCGGCCGTGCAGGCAGCCGAGGTGGCTGAGCTCCTGTCGCTCCGGCAGCACGCACAGGGCCACACAGAGCCTCACGTGTGCGCTGGGTCATCGATGGCCACCCTTGGGGGCCACAGTGCCCAGAGCGGCACAGATCCGTCCGGGGCCCTCACGGCTGTGTGTGTCCCCCCAGGCTCCATGGGTCGCCAGTGGGGCTGCCGTCCCGAGGGGATGCAGCCCTGAGTATTGGGCCCCTTTAGGCCCCTGGCTGGATGCAGACACCCCAGGTAGGGGCTACTGAGGCCCACTGAGCCCTGCCCAGGGAAGGTCTTGTCCTCAGAGGGTCAGAGTCCTGCGGGGTCTCCACGGAGGAGCTGGGCGAGTTCCTCAGTTGCTTGTGGTCCCTGGCCCTGTGTTTAGTTTTCTGTCACTCCTTCCTGCCTCCATATCAAACCATCTCTCTGTTCAGTGGGGTGTTTCAGCAGGTTTAGTGAATGGCATCCCTGGAAGGACTTGCTTTTTTTTTTTTTTTTTTAAGATTTTATGTATTTATTTGTCAGAGAGAGAGAGTACAAGTAGAGGGAATGGCAGGCAGAGGGAGAAGCACACTCCCCGCTGAGCAGGGAGCCCAACGCGGGACTCAATCCCAGCACCCTGGGACCATGCCCTGAGCCGAAGGCAGACGCTTAACGACTAAGCCACCCCGGTGTCCAGGACTTCCTTTTTTAAAAGTGGTCTTTGGACGCGAGACCTGAAGAACAAGTTCCCTGGAGGTTTGAACTCCTCCTTCTCAGGTTTCCAGTCTCCCAGAGAACTTGGGGCGCCTCCCAAGGGCATGGCCTCCCTCTGCAGCTCCCTCCGTGGCTTCTGCATACCCACCCCGGCTCTGTTGGAAACCATGCACCCCAAGTTACAAGAGTCCGTGAAAATGTGAGCAGTGCAGTTTCTAGGGACTTCGGGTATCCTGTTTATATTTTCAGTGTCTTCCAAGGTTTGTACACTAGGTAGAATTTTAAATTTGGTTAAAAATGACATATTTGAGGTACCTGGGTGGCTCAGTCCGTTAAGCATCAGGCTCTTGATTTTGGCTCAGGTCATGATCTCAGGGTCGTGAGATCGAGCCCTGTGTCGGGCTCCACACTGGGCCTATAGCCTACTTAAGATTCTTTCTCTCCCTCTGCCCCTGCCCCTCCCCCTTCTGCCAAAATGACATCTTTTATTGACATTTTAATCAGCAAATGCTGGAGCATGTGTATGATGCAGTTAGAGTCTCTTTATTGACAGCACATCTTCCTGATTTTCTTACACGGTTTAGACTGTTCCAGGTTGTTGGGAAAATAGACGACACGCTTGCCTTGCTCAACCTGGTGAGTCGTCCTTTCATTTCTTGAGAAACAAGTATGTTTGTAGGCCCATCCTCTGAAGAGGGCAAGCAGGGGCTCGGCCTTTCTGGCACCTCTGGTGTACGGAGCCTGGAACCCACCACCCACTCCTGGGCTCCTCCCACGTCCTCCCCCAGGGTCACCCCTGACAAGATGAGCCCCCTCCCCTCCTTGTTGGGCGGCGAGGGTGTGAGCTTCCTTGGGGTCTAGGAGGTAGACAGTGACATGCCTCTGGGGTGGGGCACTGCCAGAGGTCACCCTCGGCAGCAGGGCCTGGAGCCACCTGCCTGCCTTGCCCTCCTTCCCTTCCTCCTCCTTTCTAGGCCTGCATGATGACCATCACCTTCCTACCATTCACCGTAAGTACCTGCAATTTCCTCCCCGGGGCCAGCCTGCCCTCCCCTGGGCAAGAGGACTCAAGATCCAGGATGCTTCCTCAGAAACTCTCAGACCAGCTGGGTGATCCAGGGCCCAAGCACAGAGTTACATTCACAGCTGCTTTGAGGGTGGGGCATACCTGGGATTCCCAGGCTGGTTGAAGGAAGGGAAAGCCTCCCCAAAAGGGGCCTGCAATGGCAGAGACACCAGCTTGGCCTCTTACGGGCCCAACGAGGGGCATCCCGTCCATGCCCACCAACACTCGCAGCTCCTGCCTGGCCCCCATCCCACTGCTGCCATCTCAGGTTCCTCCCCAACAGCCCCTTCATGCCTGCCCCCACTCTCAGTTCGGACAGAACTGTGTTCTGGGTGGGCAGGGCTGTGTGTCACAGAATTCTTCATGAATTTGATGACATTTCAGCTTTAAAGGCTTAAAGCATTCTGTGGAATTGCTCTGGTCGGGAGGCACACCCTCCGGGGTCTACTGCCAGATGTGTGTGCCCGGCTGAGAGCAGGAGGCTCATGGGCTCCAGGGCCCTGCAGAACCTGGTTTTGTCTTGTCTTGTGTTCTTGGCTGCAGTTTTCCTTAATGGTGACCTTCCCCGAGGTGCCTCTGGGCATCTTCTTGTTCTGTATGTGCGTGATCGCCATTGGGGCTGTGCAGGTAGGACACCCCAGCCTGCCTCCCCTCCCCCACGCGCTTGTCCTCCTGGAGCACACGTCCGCACGTGTGGCGAGAGTCGTGCTCACGGGGCATGCTGTAGAGTGACCGCCCAGGCCACCTGCCACGTCTGCGGCAGAAGATGCAGAGGTTCTTAGAGCCTGGGCTTCCTGTGCTGGCCGGGAGAGAGGGTCAGTGCCCTGTGGTGCCTGGTGGGGCAAGCCTCTCGGAGGCCACCCCCCCCCCACGCGGCCCAGGGAGCCAAGCAGAGGCTCCTGTACCCTGTCCACCCCCCAGAGCATGGCGTGGCGAGCCTCACCCGTGTGGCTTCTGTCCGTGGACGTGGTGGCAGGGGTACCTGGCCAGAGGCCCCTGCCTCTGCCTGCAGCCTGCCTCTCCTACAGGCGCTGGTTGTCGTGTATGCCTTCCACTTCCCCCACCTCCTGCACCCCCAGATAGAGCACTCCGCCCACAGGGGCCTCTACCGGCAGCACATCCTGGGCATTGTCCTCAGGGGCCCAGCGCTGTGCTTCGTGGCCGCCGGCTTCTCCCTGTTCTTCTACCCTTTGGTGAGTGAGGGGGAACAGAGGGGCGGGGAGGGGGGACTGTCTCGCTGATGCCCCCGGGAGGGTGGGCCTGGGGGGAGAGAGCTGTGCAGAGGTCTCGGGGGACCACCAGCACGTGGCCTGGTGCCCAGGGTGCCAGGGAGCGCAGCCGGAGGGAGGGCCTCCCCACCACCAGCGGGACCTGTTGTGCAGGTGAATGGGCACCACAGTCAGCCAGGCCTGCATAAAGAGACACAGGGTCCGATGGGGGCAGCCAGCGGGCCATGACCACCCACGTTTTCCCCAAGCGGATGAAGCTTTAAGACGAGACGGGGGAGACTCGGATGCCCGGAGTCTGGGCTGTGCTTGTTCCCTGGGCGAGTAAGGGGTCTACACGAAGCCACCGGGGCAGCTGGCACTGGATGGCTTCTGCAGGGAGGGTCCAGCAGCATTGCCGCGACGGCAGGCGAGAGGCGCCTTAGGAAACCTAAAGACCCACGTGGAGGGTACGAGCGGCCCAGAGGGAGCACAGAGGATCCCACTGAGAAGTGGGGGGGGACCCAGCCGGGGACTGGGACACCCAGCTGAGGTCAGAGGTCGGGATGCTTCGCACGGACAGCTCTGTCCACACTACCACCTGCGTGGGGATGCCAGAACTTGGAGCTGTGCCAGCCGGGTCACGGAAATCAAGGTCGGCTAGTGCCCTCTTAGCCATTAGCTAATTTAATAGGCATGTTGTTCTAGAACACTTCCATCATCCAGGAATGCAGAGAAATACAAACAAGCAACCGTCTCACAGTTGATTGTGGAAGCTTTATGCGTGGCTCCTGCCTGGACCTGAGCTCTCGTGAAGTGCCGTGAAGTTTCAGGCCCAAAGCATCGTAACTGTGAAAAAATGGTTGTTGTTTTAAATGTCTAGTAAATATTTCAAGAGATTCCAAGTTTGAAACAGATAGGCTAGCGAGGGCCACTGCCGAGCATCGTTCCCTCGAGGACGGAGCTGCCTGGTGGGGGCTGAGTGGCCAAGGCGTCCAGAGGTCAGGCCCGGGCAGGTAGAGCAGGGGAAGGTGCACGCTGGCGTGTGAGGTGAGGGCAGGCCTCAGGACACTGCTTGGTCTCCTCAGTCTTGAGCATGTTTGAGGTGCAGGGGTGCTGGTGGGAGGGATGCTGCAGGGGTGCTTGGGGTTGGGCAGGGCGTCCTTGGCCGTGGCCTCTAGCAGGGTCGCTCCCAGTGGACAGGGCAGGGCCAGAGGGGGATGCATTGGACAGGAGTCAGCAGTAAGGGCATATGGTCTGAGGCCGTGTACACGTCCTGGTTTCAAGTGGGACAGTCTCTCCTGGCTGTGCATTCAGGGTGGTCGACAGCACGTATTGGTTGGACAAAGTCAGGGCTTGAGCAATGACAAGGGTCATTGCATGGAGGTTCGGAGGGACAGCTGGGGTGTGTGGTATGGGTGGCCTGGGTGAGCCGAGCGGAGGACCAAGGTAGTTTGTGCCCACTGCCAGGGCCTGGGCCAGGAGCCTGAGCTGCGTGGGCAGGTGTCCAGTGTGTCCTGGGGGATAGCAGGTGCCACAGCATCGGGTCCATGCAGAGCTGGGCAGTGACCATGCCCTGGTGGGATGAAGGCAGTGGGGGAGGGGACACCTGAGCCACCAGACTGGGGAAGAGGAGACTGGGAGGGCCCGGTGGTCAGTAGGCAGGGGCCTCGGAGGATGGGGTCACTCAGGCCATGGCGCTGTCTGATGGATCAGTCAGCTCTCCATCCACCCCCCACTCACCTGTCCATCAGCTTTCCTCCCTCTGACCACTTGCCTCTGCCCCCTCACCTCCTCACCTGGAGCCCCATGCCCACCACCGCCTGTGAAACAACACGTCCAAGCTTCCTGACCCCCAAGTCCTGCCCATTGCAGCCTCCTCAGCAAGCCCATGGCCTCCATCCTTCCAGACATTCCCTCAGCCAGATGCTGTGTTGGGTCCACCTTCCAGATCCAAGCCCTTCTCACCAGCCTGGTCCAGGCCATCCTGTCCTCCCTGTGGACCACCTTCCTCTGGTGATGCCCACAGGGCCCAGGGCCTCACCTGCCGGCATCCGTTTAGATGCCCCTTGTGTTGTGTTCCCAGCCCCGCACCAGACTCAGATCCCTCGTCTCCTGGGGCAGCCCTCCTGCCGATCCTGCAGTGGTCCACCGCCTCCTACCTGCGTACCTGCGTCACAGCTGGGCGGCACCTCCCTCAGGGTGTCTGTTGAATGATGCTTGCGATGCGGTCTCTTGAAGCATGGAAAACGGGCTTAGAGTTAGATCTGTGACGCATCTGAAGTGTCCCGCTGTCTCCCTGATTGTGCCATGTGTATGGGCATCATGTCCCCACATCAGCTGACCTTGAAGTACTAGGTGTGCAGGACAGAGGGCCTGGTATGGGACAGGGCAGGGGCGGCAGGAGGAGGGCCGTCCCTGCAGGGGTGCCGGCTGGGTGGTGTGGGGCCTTGAGCGCTCATGCTGCCAGGGCCCAGGACAGGGGATCTGTTGAGCCGCCCCAGGACCCAGCCCTGCACCCTTTCTCAAGTAACGTGGTGGACGCGCAGCATAAACTTTGTATCACCGGGTCCACTGCCACCTGTCCGGTCCAGAGGCGTTGGCTCTGCAGCCACCACTCTACCTACTTCTGGAGTGTTCTCGTCACCGCAACAGAAACCCCACCCCCATTAGCAGTCTCCAACCCCCACCACACCCTGCTCCCTGGAAAACCCTTAATCTACTTACTGTCTTTCTGGGTAATTCGTGTAAATGGAATCATAAAACATGAGGCTTTTATGTCTGGCTTCTTTCATTCAGCATAATGTTTTCAAGTTTGTTCATGTGGTAGCAGGAGTCAGGAATCCACCCTCCCGCTGGACGGTCATGGGAAGGACCGCAGTTTGCTTACCCATTGATCCATCCACGGACACTGGGGTGCTTCCCTGTCTCAGCTGCTGTGCATGATGCTGCCGTGAACACGGGGGTGCCGGCCTCTCATCCAGACCCTGCTCTCCGTTCTCCGGGGAACACACCCAGACGTGGAATGGCTGGGCCGTGGGCTCATTCTGTGCTTAGTATTTTGAGGACCCTCCACGGTGTTTTCCATGGCGGCTGCACCCCACGATGCACGGGGTTCCGGTTGCCCCACGTCCTCGCCAAGGCTTGTCGGTTTCTGCTCCTTTGAGAGCAGCCGTCCTGCGGGGTGTGGGGTGGGGTCTGCCCGTGGTTTTGACCTGCATTTCCCTGATGGTTGGTGATGCTCAGCACCTTTTCCTGTGCGGGTCGGCCACTGTGTATCTTCTTCGGAGAAATGTCTGCTCAGGGCCTCTGCCCCCTTTGGGTTGGGTGTTGTGTCTTTGCTCTCGAGGTGAAGTTTTCCACCTGCCCCAGGTACCAGACCCTCCTCAGCTGTGCAGCCTACTGGTATTTTCCCACATTCTGTGAGCTGCCTTTTCATTCCTCTGGAAATACTCTGATGCACAAAAGTTTTTCAGCTTGATGAGGTAGAATTCACCTGTGTTTTCTTCTGTTGCTGGTGCTGCCGTCCCTTTGGAGCGGATGGCTTCTGGGTGGGATTCGGGGCAGCACATCACCTCCTGACATGTCCTGTGTCTCACACAGTCGTACCTGCTGATGGCGACGGTCATCTTCCTCCCCTACGTCAGCAAGGCCTCCAGCTGGTGCAAGGGCAGGCTTGTGGGTAGGTGCTCGGGCAGGCTGGTGTGCGGGGCCTCAGCACTGCTCCCTAAGGCCTGTGGAGCATGGGAAGGGCCCAGGCACCCATGACAGCCAGGTGTCCCTGCAGAGTCCCCTCCCCTGGCCAGCTTCTCCCTCCTGCACGTCCACAGGCCCCCAAGAGCCCCCAGCTCACAGCGTGGAATTCTTCACTTTTGACCTGCATGAACCTCTCAGCAAGGAGCGGGTGGAGGCCTTCAGCGACGGGGTCTATGCCATTGTCGCCACACTCCTCATTCTGGACATCTGGTAAGGACCCAGTCTTGAGGGAGGGGGTCCACGGCCTGCCTGTCGTCATCCAGCCCTACAGAGGCAGGCGCCGAGGTTTCCTGATGCCAACCTGGACAGAGCTCCCCAGAGCTCAGGGTCTCCTGTCCTGAAGGGGGGTGGGCATCAGCGGTCACTTCTCCCTTCCCCAAGCTGGGTAGATGGGTGTGGACGGGCCTCGCCCTTTGGGCCTTGCCCCAGCCCCACCCTCCCCTCCTTCCCCCTAACCCCTCCCCCCGCCTCCCGCCTCCCACCCCACCCCCCGTTTACCCTCCCATCCCCCCGCGCCCCCAGCCTCTCTTCCCCTTTCCCCCCAGGACTCCCCCTGCCTCCTGCCCCCACCCCCCCAGCCCCTTCCCTCCCCAGGCCTCCCTGCCCCGCTTCCCCTGCATCCTCCCTTCTGCTCAGTTTTCCCTTCACTCTGTGCTCTTCTGCTTTACCTGATCTACCTCCTCTGTCAAAGTTCTCATTTTAGTTACTGCATTTTTATTTTTAGGTGTTTCATCTGCTTTTTTTTCCTTCATATTTTCCATTCTTTTCTAGAGCCGCTGGTTTCTTTGATCCTATTTCAGTACATTCTTATTTTGTCGGACAGGTTACACCATTTTGATTTTACATTTTTGTATCTGATGGTCTAAAGTGTTCTCCTAATTCTCTCTTGATAGCTTTTTCCTACTGTAATTTGTAAATTTTTAAAATTTGGGAGCAAATGTTCATTGGTGCCGATCTCGGAGGCCTAAACCTAAGGTTCCAGAATGGTGCGGCTTTGCTTCTGCCGCCAGGGCCCAGCTGCAAGCAGCAGTGGAGGCTGGGGGCCTCTGCCCCGAGCCACAGCCCCAGCACCTGGGGGCACTTGCCCCTATACCTTCAGACTCTTGCAGCTCTCCCTACGCACCCCCAGACACATGGGTAGCCCACCATTGTGAGCTGAGAGGTGTCTCAGGTGCTTCCCCCCAGCCTGGGCCGTGCCATGCACTCGGGGACATCCATCTGGGGGGAGAATCCCAAGATGTGCCTTAGAGTTGCTCCTTCCAGCAACCTGAGAACCACAGAGGCTGACCTCCCCCCCCGCCCCATCTGCAGGACCACCACCCAAGTGGACGGGCAGCTGCGGGGGGAGTGGACAGACCTCACGCGCACCCAGCTGTGGAGGCCAGGGGGGCTGAGGGGACAGTGCGGCCCACCCGGCCTGGGCAGAGATAGGACGCCGGGACATCTGCACTTCAGAGGCACAACATGGAATTGCTCCGTGTCTGTGTGCTGACCACAGCTTTTCCATGTCGTTCTCTGAAACGCACGTGTGCTCGTCCCGGCTGGGATGGGGTGGGGGTGCAGCCCTGACACGACGCCCCGCGTCGAGGCTGTGACAGATGCTGTGTGTTGACCGTCCTCAGCGAGGACAATGTTCCGGACTCCAAGGACGTCAAGGAGAAGTTCCACGGCAGCCTGGTGGCAGCGCTGAGCGAGTACGGGCCGCACTTCCTGGCCTACTTCGGCTCCTTCGCCACCGTGGGCCTGCTTTGGTTTGCCCACCACTCGCTCTTCCTGCACATCCGCAAGGCCACACAGTCCATGGGGCTGCTCAACACGCTCTCGCTGGCCTTCGTAGGCGGCCTCCCACTGGCCTACCAGCAGACCTCGGCCTTCGCCCAGCAGCCCCAGCAGGAGCTCGAGAGCGTGCGCGTCAGCTGCGCCATCATCTTCTTTGCCAGCATCTTCCAGTTTGCCATCTGGACCACAGCCCTGCTGCACGAGGGGGAGACGCTGCAGCCCTCAGCACGCTTCGGGGGCCGTGAGCATGCATTCATGTTTGCCAAGCTCGCGCTGTACCCCTGCGTCAGCCTGCTGGCCTTCGCCTCCACCTGCTTCCTGAGCCGGTTCAGCGCGGCCATCTTCCACCTCACCCAGATCGCTGTGCCCTTCGCCTTCCTGCTGCTTCGTCTCCTCGTACGCCTGGCCCTGGCCCCACTGCACGCCCTGCAGGGCCTCAGCCTGCCAGCACACCGGAGCGAGGGGAGCGAGGACGACGCACGGGCCCCGCTCCTGCCTTCTGCCTACTAGCTCTGGGTGCCTGCCCGCCCCGGCCCACCGTGGCCCCTTTGGTTCTTATTTCCATCGCCCTGCTCTAGAGCCCTCGGGGGGGGTTTCTGCTTCTGCAGACAGCACGACAGGAGCTTGGCGTCTGCGTGTCCATCTCTGTCCCGGGCCCACATTCTCTATCTTCGTGAAGCCAAGCTGCACGGGCGCTCGAGCTCCCGCTGGGAGCCCACAGCGTCAACCCTGGGCGGGGCATGGGTCCCCAGGCACAGAGGAGATGGCAGGCCAGCAGTGCCCACACTATATTTATCCTGGACATCAATTAGGCTTACATTCAGGTAGTGACAAGGTACACGAGGGCCTGTACACTGCCCCTCTGGGCACACAGACTCACTTAAATACAGAAGGACAGGCAGCTACAGGCCAGAACCGGCGCCAAGGCCTGCGAAGCAAACACTAACTGCACCACCGGGGACATCACGGCGGACACACGCTTGTGTGCTGGAGGCACAGGGTAGGAATGTCCCGTCACAAATGGCCACAACAGTGCGTTTGTGCAGTTTGGGCAGAAGCCTGGGGGATACAGGGCTGGCAGGGTGGAGCCCAGTCAGACAGTGCCAACAGCAAAAAGCCAGGACAAGTAGAGAGACGTGGTTCCTGGGCCTCTCACTGGGGGACTCCAGAGATGCCCCAGACTGACCCGGGGCCTGTCTGAGCTCAGGGTAGTGGGGGCCCGGGTGTCTGGTCAGCCCGACAGGTGCTGGGAATGGGCATGCTCATTGTTGACAAACAAGTGATTAAAGCTGGCTCCTCCCCACGTCACACCTTGTAAACTTCCTCTGGGCCTCCCAGCCCAGGTTTCCATGGGTTTGCTTCTGGTCCCTTCTGGGCACGCTCTGCCCCACTCCTGTGAGGGCCCAGCTCCCCTCCTGCTCCACCGTCAGGATGTTGGCCAAGCCCACCTGGCCTCGGGCCCCTCCACCCCCAAGGTGCAGCCCAAGCAGCTCCTCCACAGTGGTGGGCCAGGAGAGAAGGCAGCTTCTCCCAGGACAAGTGGTAGGTGCCCCCACCCAGCCCTCAGTGGGACAGTCGGCCGGAGGACCTGGTGGCTGGCATTCAGGGTCTGTACTGGGTACTCTCTGTTAGGAGCATCTGGGGGGTTGGCCCAGGATTCAGTGCTGCCCAGCTCAACGGGCTCAGAGATGGTGGGGGACGCAAAGGGAGAAGTGCCTGCCACGCAGGATGGTGGCCTGGACTGCAGGGGGTGGGACGATTGGCCAGCCAAAGCCCCGCGCCCACCCTGTCGCTGGATCGGAGGCCAGGGGGGAAACACCTGCCACCCACCCAGCAGCTTCCATGTGGCACAGGGGTGAGGGGGAGACGCCCCCAGTCGAAGCCGCAGGCAAGTCCATCCATCACTGGTTGGCAGCAGCTGCTGTTGGACAGGCACACTGCTCCAGGGCCCTCTACTTGGGGTCCCCTTCGGGGACAGGCACCCCATCTGCTCGGGCATCCTTGGGGGTCCCTGCCTTCCTGGGCTTCTGCTTGGTCTTCCTGAGCATGTGGACCTGTCCCAGGATAGGTCAGGTCAAAGGGCTGGGTGATACTGCAGGCATGGTCTCAGCCCACTTGACAGAAGGGGTGGGGGGGGGCGGTTCAGCCTGTGGGCCCCTCCCATCCATGTACCCAGGGGGCCCCTGAGGAAGAACGGGCTGCAGCAGGCTCTCAGGCCCCACCCCGCTCACCCCATGTGGTACCTTGGGGCCCGCAGCTGAGATGATCATGTGCCCAGGAGCCTGAATCCAGGGCTCGCCATCCACCTGCACAGGTGTGGCCTTGAGGAGAGTGACGCGGAAGTAGGAGCCCTGGGCGATGCGGATGCCAGAGCGCAGCCCACCCTGGACCTGGCCCTGATAGAGGGGAGAGGGCCGGCTGGGTTCAGCGGGCTGCGGTCCCACGCCGGGGGCCCACCCCCGCCTGCCCACACTCACCATGTGCATGACGCCTGTCACTCCCACCACCTCTAGCAGCCCGTCATCCATGCGTGGCTTCTCGAACCTTGAGTCACTGTCGGAGCCCCACAGATCGGCCCCCGAGCCCCAGCTGCACCGAGGGAGGGGCGCACAGGTAAGTGGGCAGGCTGGACCAGGGCTTCGAGCCCCACCTGAGGCCAGAGCCCCCTGGAGCCCCACCCACTGGCACCTGGGGATGTTGATGAAGATGAGACCCTCGATGCTTGGCAACTCTACTTCCTGCTGCTCCACCTGCAGCCGGATCTCTCTGTGCAAGCCGCGGGAGTGGCTGATCTTCTGCAGCCCAACTCGCACGTACACGCCCTTGTTGTGGAACCTGCAGGGGAGGTGTACGCCTACTGTCAAGGCGGAGCCCTTGCCCTAAGACAATCCCCCAAGTGTCAGTCCCATCCACCAATTCCTGCTGGTGAATCCCCGGGAAGTATGCTGTCACCAGGGGGCAGCCCTGCTGTCCAGAGCAGTCCCAAGCCCCCATCCTTGATCTTCTGTCACCTGCTCGTGAACTTGCCCGGCTCCTCCTCCCGTGCCTGGTGGAAGTCCAGGCTTAGCTCTGCGTCGATGCCAATCCCACAGTAGTTACTCATCTGCACGATCTAGAGACAAGACACATTCTCCCATGACCCTGGTCAGCCCCCACCAGGTCCTTCCTGCGTCCCCCAAGCTGGGTCCGGCCTCCTCTCCAACCCGACTCTGCCGCCGTTGTCAGAGCAGCTTCTGTTCTGTTCTGTAATTGCCCTTCACCCAGGAGGAGGCAAGCATCTGAGCCAGCCAGCCTGGGACGTCCCCAGCAAGCCACTGCTGACAGTGCCTCGGCTTCCCCATAAAGGGGGTGGCCCTGGGACCTACACCAGGTGATGGCCAGGGTGCGCATGAATCCCCGGACAGAAGTGTGGAGTTGCCCCCCTGGTACCTTGGGGGGCTCCACATCTGCCACGCTGTTCTCTGCACCGCCAGCCTCATGAGCATCCAGCAGAATGGTCCAGCGGTCCATGAGCACAGCATCAGCCTCATCCACCGACATCAGCACAGAGAATGGGTCCTCTCCACTGTAGCCCGCCCCCCAGCGGAGGACCCGGCCAAGGTCATTCCCTGGGACAGGGACAAGCGAAAACTGACTCTCCACACCCACCTACCCCCCCGCCCCCCCTAGGCCTGTCCCCCGACCTGTTGGCTGACCCCACCTGTGCCCAGCGGCAAGATGGCCACGGAAGGCTCCGGGCAGGCCAGACGGTGCCGCATCTCCTCCAGGGCGGCGAGCACCCAGCCCACGGTGCCGTCCCCACCGCACACCAGCACCCGGAAGCAGGGCACCTGAGAGAACACATGGAACCTGGCGAGAGGCAAACAGGAAGCGCTCTGTACGCGTGCATGCCAGGGGCAGCACCTGAACCCCACGCAGAACGGCCTGGACGGGTCTGTTCCCTCTGGCCTCTCGACAGCCGCGTGCAAGCACCCCTCCTGAGGCTCGTCAGGCTGTGAGCGGCACAGCGGGCGCCCCCACACTCACCCAGGAAGAGGCCCCCCGTTGGTCAGTTCAAAGACCTGGTGAGGGTTCAGCAGCTTCCGAAAACTACAGAGCAGGTCACGGCCCTTGAGGCCTCCACTCTTGGGGTTCACAAACACGAGGAGGGGGCAGGAGTCTGGGGGCAGCTTCGTGTGCTGACAGATGGGGGGCTGGGTTAGTGCAGGTTCTCAAGGCCACCCCACGGGGGCAGTGACAAGTCCTCCAACCCTGAGCCCACACAGCCTGAGCCCACCTGGGGCCAGCCCCCTGCCCGAGGAAGGCACTCATGGGGCCCAGGGGGGCTACCTGGCCACTCCCACCTTGCCAATGACCACTCAAGGCACCCCCCGCCCCCAGCAGAAGAGGCATTCATAGGCGCTAGCCAACGGGGCAGGGATGAGGCCGGACGGCCTGGAGCTCTGAGCAAACGGGCCATGCCACCATCCACTGCGACCCTCGTGGCCAGACCGCACCCGCTACCTGACCCATGCAGCCCAGGCGCCGAGGCTGGACACCCACGCGGGATTCCAGCTGCCCCTCCTGCAGTTCTCAGGGCCCCTGCCCACCCACACTGCAGCGAGCAGGAGCAACCGGGCTCACAGAGTGGCCCCATGCCTCCCCTGGCAGAAGTCATCCGTTTCCCAACAACCCTCAAAACGCGGTGCCCAGAGACAGTGGGCCGGGGGCTCAGGCCCCCACAATGGTGAGGATGGTGAGGGGTCTTGGGGTCCCACCGTGGGAGGTGCTGGGTAACAGGCGCAAGCTCAGCAATGGCTCAAGGCCAAGGACACACTTGGGGTGACGTGACCCACGGGGCAGAGCTCCTACAGTCATCCCTCACCTGCTCACCCCAAAGCAGGTAGCTGCCAGGAGAGAAAAACTGGACGTCGGCACTGCCCACCCAGCTCTGCCAACAGGGCCAGCTGCCAGGGGCCCTGACCTGCCCGGGGCTGCATCCTCATCAGGACAGCGGGAGGGCACCCGGCTCAGGATGGGAGGGGGCGGCCAGGCCCAGGCATCACCCACCCGGTGGCTCACAGGCAGTGAACTCATCTACTCTAATTATGCTTCACCTGGACAGGGGCCCAGGGTCAGGGGCAGCGTAGTCACAGACAGCTCTGGTGAAACCTTGGGGGCCCGCAGGGCTGAGGACCAGAGGCTGCTGGCAAAGGCATGGAGTGTAGGGCAGGACCTGGGGCTCTGGCCACTCACCCTGCCCTGACCTGCGTGGTGTCCACCCTGGCCCTGGGCTTGCCCCCAGCTCAGACTTCCAAGACGCTGTCCAAAGTCAGGGAGCCCCACCTCCTGGCCAGAGGTGGCCCAGGCCTCCCAAGCAGGGGGAGTGGGGCCAGGTCCCAGTAACCCTTGGTCCTCCACCCATCAGCCATGGTACAGGCCTGTCAGCCCCGGACCTCAGGCTCCTCCCCTGCTGTGAACTGTGTCCCTGACGGCACCCACTCACCAACACGTCTGGGAGCACCAGGGCAGTCAGTGGCCGGCCGTGCACAGCTGTGTCCCTGACCAGCATGTACAGTCGCTCAGCCTCTGCGAAGCAGGCCACGTCCAGCACCACTGCACCTGCAGCAGGTGGGCTGTAAGCTCAGACCGCAGCCTCCCCTCATCCCACTGCCAGAAGGGACCCTGGGTCTGGCCATCCAGCGGCATCCACGTGACGCAGGACCACCGTCCCCGTGGAGCCTTTATGGCCAACGTCAGAGACAGGATACGGAGGTGGGTGGAAAAGGGCGGTGTGGCTGGGCACACCCTCATCCCTGGGGCCCCTGGGGGGCGAGGAACGCACCCACAAGAACGCAGGACACTGATGACTGCTGGGAACCCACAGAAGGGACTTGGGGCTCATGGGAATGTCCTCCCGCTTCTGGACAGATCTGAAGTCTCCCGTGAAAAAAAGATGCAAACCCAAGGGCACAACAGGTTTGGCAGAAAACTCCTCTGCAACTCAGTCACACTTTAGTAAAAGCACGACAGCCGTGAGCCAGGAAAAAAAACAGAAATGAGTCCCTCACGTGGGGTTCCCCCAGAAAAAGGTCAGGTCCTCAACAAAATGGAACACTAAACATGGAGGCAAGAAGGGCAGGCCTTTCCAGCTAACTCCAGGGAACGACCTTTGGCCAAATCTGATCGCGGCCCAGGGCGGCAGCTCACCTTGGGAAGAGTAGACGTGGCTCACGGACACCAGGCCAGCTGCAAAGACAGGCTGCCGTCAGGGGAGGCACGGGGTCTGGGCATGGCCTCCCCCCTCCGCCCAGCTGCCACTGTTTGTAGCTGGGCCCACGACCCAGCAGGGGCAGCTCCCCTAACCCGTCCCTCCCCAGCCCAGAGCCAAGGGCAGAAAAGGCAGAGGCTAGACCTCAGGAGTCTCAGAAGCCCCTCGGAGAAGGTGAGAACACAGACCGCAGAGTGGGAACCAGTTTGGCAGAGGCTCAGACACCGAGTGGCGGGGGAGGAGGGGAGCAGGAGAACCAGCCCCCGTGGCCTGCTCTCAGAAGGCCCCCCTTCCTCCCCCTGCTCCCAGGTCAGCCAGGCCGTCACACCTTTGGTGGCCACAGCCTCCTCCAGCAGGCTGCCATACTCCTGGGCAGACAGGCCGGGAGGCAGGCCAGCAACATACAGGGAGACGTGGGGGACCACAACTCTGCTCTCAGCCACGTAGAACCGCACCTGGGTCATCTGCCGCAGGGACGTCTGCGGGGAGGCAGGACACTGAGCAGAGCACTCAGGGAGGGCACCGCAGCGCCCAGCCCCTCCACCCTCCTCATCCAGAAAGGCTCCCCAGGCTGAACCACACCGAGATGGAAAGGGAAACACAGCCTTCCTCCCTTGGGACAAACTCCTCAACTGCACTCAGGGAGCTCCGGGGGGTGGGGTCTGTGGCTCACAACCCCACCTTCCGGGAAAAGGTGACATTAGCAAGCAGACAGACCCGCCAGGCCCAGGAGGGCTGGCACTGCCAACCAAGAGGGACGTGGTGTCCTGGGGACAGGCTCCCTCACTAGGAGGCAGCAGCCACGGCCAAAGGCTGGTGGCTCCACAGGGAACCAGCATTCACACCCAATGACCTGCCGGATGTCATGAAGCCGGGCAAGCAAGGGCTCTTCGTCCTCCAGCACCGTCCGCTGGACTGCAAGAACGAAAGGCGAGGTCTGTGGGCACCAGGTGCCGTGTCCACCTCTGCTGCCCAAAGACCTCAGGGCGCCCGGGGGTGCAGATCAGGGGACATCGACTGCGGGCTACCACTCACCTTGCCTGCTACCCATGAGCACCTCCACCAGCTGGAAGCTCTCAGGACCCTCGGCCTGTGGGGGGCGGAGTTTGAGGCATCAGGCCTGGACCCCTGACTGCCCCAGGACTCCCCCCCAGATTGGCCGGGACCACAGCGGCATACACACCTGACGTCCAAGCAGCGGCAGAACCTCCAGCACCACGGTCCGGGCAATGCTCTGTGGGGTCACACGGATAGACACGTAGGCCACGCCCACCCTGCAGGGAACAATGTCAGGAGCTTGGGTCACACGGCCCCCACCCCTTCCAGCTCCCGCCGGCAGGCCCTGGGCCTTGGGCCTGGGTCTCACTTGAGCCAGGCAGGGTAGATCCTCAGGACCTCCTGGGTGCGGGGCAGAGCGCGGATGATCCAGGCCTCGGGTGCAGCCTCTCGGGATCCAGGGCCTCTGCTGTCCTCCCCCTCTGCACTCCCACCAGCCCGGGTCTTGCCTCGAGCCCCCGTGTCCGCAGCGTGCACAGGCAGGGGGAGCGCCTGCAGCTCAAAGTCTCGAGGGTCCTCCGTGACATAGTAAGCCCGGAGAGCTGCCTCCTGCGGGGGGGTGGGGGGCACATGTGGACAGGTGCCAGGGCCAGGCTGGATGCCAAGCGCCCCCAGGAATGGGCCCTGCCTGCAGCCCCCGTGGGGCTCTCGTACCAGGACCTCCTCGCTCCTGGCCAGGCGGGGCACAGTGATGACTCGAAAGTGGTTTCTCTGCAGAGCATCGTTGCCGTCAAAGATCTTCAGGGTCTGTTTGCCTGGGCCGGAGAAGTGCATATGGACCCATGGAGTGGGGTACAGGCTGGGGACAGGACAGGGGATGGGGTGAGGACAGGACGGGGGGCAGGAGGCACGAGGGGCAGGGTGGGGGCAGGGCAGCGGGCCAGGCAACAGCTACGGGCACTCACTGGACTCCGGGGCCAGCACCTCTCTGCCCAGGCCAGTGGGGCTACTTCCGTCCGCACCATCGTCCCCCTCACCTGCGGGCGGGGCACAGCTGACTTCGTACTCGGGGCCTAGCCCCGCCCCCACGCCCCGCCCCGGCACAGCCCTTCACGCACCTGGCTCTGGGGCCGCGCTCTCAGAGATGCGGAAACAGTGCATTTTACTGAAGTTTCGGGACAGCAGGCGCACGCACGCCGGAGGCAGGACCATGGTGCGCAAGCGCCCAAACGAGCACTCCGGGGCGAGCGCCGCGGAGCAGACTGAGTGGGCCTGGAGATGGGGGCATGGACTGGCCCTCAGCCACGCCGCAGGGGCCCACGCTGGACTGACGGCCCCTAACCAGGCCACGACAGGGCACACTGGCGGGCGGCACCACCCTCAGACCAGAAGGATCCCCAGCTCTGCACAACGGGGACCACCCACCGCCCCGAGAGTGCGATGCAGACGGGTGAGAGCGGAAGGACGCACCACACCTGCCCCCCGGACCTCTATCCTGCTTTCCAAAGGCTTAGTACATCCACGCCGCCCCACCCCCTAGGACCGTGACACCCCGCCCCCCCAGGAACCCCACCGCCCCATTCCACCTCTCAGGACACGCCCCCCCCCGCAAAGCCCACCTGCACACCGCACCACCCCGCCCCCCAGGACCCCCGCAAAGCCCACCTGCACGCCGCACCACTCGCAGCGCACACCCGCCAGCACATCGGAGGAGCCGCACGTCTTCCTGCAGACCTCGCAGCGCGCACCGGAGGGCAGGTTCCCCTCCCGCCAGTGGTGGTGGTGCGTGTCCTGCGGAGGGGGCAGTCACCGGTGGCTCAGCCAGCACCCCCAGCAAGCCCCTCCCCCGCCTGCCCCCCCCTCAGGCGTCTGGCCCTGTGCACTCACGTGGTCCCGGTGCCCGTCCCCGTGGCACTGGCGGCAGTCGCTGCAGGCGAAGGGCACACAGTCGGGGTGAACGTGCAGCTCACACACTGGGGGGCGGGCAGGGTTAAGGGCCTCTCGCCGCTCCCCACAGCCCTGCCCCCTTCTCTCGGGCATCTCTGCCAAGGCCGGCCAGTCCTGGCCACACTTCCTTGATCCTTCCCGGGGTGGGGAGCTCTCAGGAGGGGAGCCCCCCTCTCAGAGGATGGGAGCCAGCTTCTCCTGTCAACCTGCGTGGCCCCCTGCACCTGCTTCCCTGTGAGGGCAGCTCGGGATCCACAAACACGCCCCCATCAGTGCCCAGGGCACCACCCCACCTCCTGCCCAGCCGCCTGCCCACAGCAAGGGGTGGGCTGCCCTGGGCAGCAGAGATCAGGCCCCTGGTGAGTGGTGCAGGATGGGGGGGCGGGGGGCTCAGCAGTACCTTCACAGCGGAGCGCAGGGGCCTCCAGGGTCTTGCGGCACACAGCGCAGAACTTGCGCTTGTAGAGACCCCGCGGGCCGAAGCAGTGGGCCGTGGGGACCTGCAAGGAGCAGAGCTCCCCCTCAGCCTGGGGCCCACCCACCAGCGCCCATCCGGGGCTGGGAGGCCCTCGTTCTTTACATCTCCAACAGCTCCCACTGCCACCCACACCCCTGCCTGACCCCTGCAGTCCCCCTCAATCCTCGCCTGCCCCTCTGTGCCTCCTAGGGGTCCTGCTGAAACTGCCCAGTGTCTTCAGAGTCCTTGAGGACCAAGGCCAGCTGGGATCCCAGGCAGCCCCTTCTGCAGGGAACACCCCGGCCGGTTCTGCCCATGCCTGATTCGGCTGTGCAGCCCAGCTTCCTCCAGACCCGTTCCCCTGCCCTCATGACACATCTGGGGCAAGCTGGACAAAGCACAGGTGGACAGAGGCCCACCAACAGGCAGCACGAGCAGTGCTGGGGCCAGGGACCCCCGAGGAAGCGTGGTCAGAACCAGCGGGAAGTGAGGCCCACTGCTGTCCTGGGAGGGGCTCACACGCAGGGATGCAGTCAGCATGCTGGGGACCCAAGGCAGCACAATGGAACACTCCCACCCCGTTCTACCAGCCAGCCTCCCAGCCCAGCACCTGCCACAAGAACCAGCTTCCCAAGCCCTCTGCCCACGCTGCATACGCACCCGGACCAGGCTAGGGGCCACACCCGCACAGGGGGTCTTCACATGCTTCAGGCACTTCTCGTGGGACATGAAGTTGCAGACTGTGGAATGAGAGCTGCATGAGTTGGCCCCCGTCCGACCCCAGGCTTTGGCCAGCAGAACTGCCAGGGGCCAGGGCCGGATGCCAGCATTCTGACAGGGCAGTGCGCCTCTCACGGTGGGCCCGCTCTGCCAGAGCTGGAGGGGAGTCAGCATGGGGTGAGTCGCGGCAGCCCACCCCCCCACCCCAGCTCCGACCCCGCGTGAGCAATGGAGAAAGTGACTCCCACCGTCTCCACCGTCATGGGGGCAGAGGGAGGGCATGGCCACAGCCTCCCTCCACAGAAGCGCCACGGACACCCTGATCCTCTGCCCCACGCCACCTCTCATCCCGAGAGCCCGGAGTGGGGATGATGCTGTGTCCTGGAGTCTTGAGAGTGGCCCCTGCCCCTTGCACACAGGGGCACACTCCAATCTGTTAGCCCTGAGGTGCAGGCAGGTAAGTGGGCATCTCCCCCCAAGACCAGCTTCACCAAGAAATCCTTCCCTCACTCCCCCACAACTCTAAAGACCCCTAACTACCCCCTCCCGTGTGGTGTGCCTGCCGAGACCAGAACCAGTCTGTAATGGGCCAGGGCCTCCCGAGACAGGCAGGGTGGCCAGCCCAGGGATGGTTGCACCTGCCCCCGCCCAGAGGAGTAGACAGCCCAGAGGCTCTATAGGCAGTGAGCACTCAGACGTACGCTGTGCCCTCGAGAGCCACTAAGAAGGAGGCCCAGGGACGGACAGGATGAGAGGAGCGGCCCAAGAGGAAGCGGCCTCTGGCAGCACATACAGCAGTGAGTAAGCCTGGGGAGGGGGCGGGGGGCCTGGGCGGAGCCCCCCTGGGGTGGGGTGGGTTAGACAAGGCAGCAAGAAGCTGGGAAGTGGGCAGGGGGCAGAAGAACTCACTCTCCAACATAGTCCTTGGTGAAAAGTGTGATCCGGGGGCCTTGAGGCAGCCCCTTCCCACCCACTGCAGCCCTACCCACGCGTCCCTAGGAGAAGGCAGACCGGTCCTCCACAGGCTAGCAAGAACAGCCTGAGACTTTGCTTCAGAAGAACTACGGTAGGCTGGGGCCGGATGGAAGCAGCAGGGAGGCGGAGAGGAAGAGTGAGCGCTCCAGCTAGCTTCCCCTTCAGGGCACCCAGACTAGCTCCGTCCCGGAAGGCAGCGGTGGCGGGCAGGTGGCACCCAGTCCTCTGGCCCACGGAGATAGGGCCTGATCACCCCACATCCCACATCCCACATCCTGGGTACTCCCGGGCAGGGGAGGAGGCTCTTCCTCCCACACCCCTGTCAGGCCCCTCTGCTTGCCAAGATTACCACCCCTTCTCCACGGAGGTGGGGAGAAGGTCCATACAGCTGCCCAGGGATGGCCTCCACGTCATCCCCCAAGCCCAGCCTCTTTCCATGAGCTGCTTCGCCCTTTAGACCTAGAGCCCCACCTGCAGAAGGTCACAGCAGTGAGGAGGACCTGGAGCCTTGCCTTCACCACCTCTCACCTGTGCAGAGATCCTGGGTCTAGCCTCAGACCTACAGCTGACTCAGCCTGCACAAGCATTTCTCCCTGCTCAGGTGAGCCTCTTGGCATGGGAAACAGTAAGAAAGGGCAGTGTTTCTGATATGAGAGAATCTAGGGGTGACTCCCCCCAGGCCACCTGGTGCAGCACTAGGGAGTCAGATCGAGCATGCCATTTTTTTTGGTAGAAGGCATCCTGTGTGAAGGGCCCAGCCTCCTCCACCCAGACCTGGTCAAGCCTTCTCTGTAAAGTTTGGCGTTAAGTGGTCCTTCTGTCCCCAGAGACAAAAGCCTGTCTCCCCAAGTGGAAAAAAGGCTCCCCACATGCCACCTTCCACATCCCTGGGCAGCTCTGGTCCCCAGGGCCCACCCACCTGTTCTGCCAGAGGGAGCAGGACTACAAGAGGGCAGACCTTGGAAGCCTGCACCCTCGATGTCCCATGAGCCAGAGGAGGGAAGGCCTCCTCACCCGGCCAGCCAGCTTGGCGGCTAGGTGGGAGCCCTGTTGGGGCACGCCACACTTGGCCCTGTGGGCAGCAGTGTGCATGCAGGGCAAAAAAGGCCCAGCACTAGGCTACAGGAACCAGTAGCCCAGACCAGCCCTGCCTGACCACACTGCTGCCCCGTGCTGCCCCAGCGGCTGGACTGAGGAGCCCAGACAAGTCCCACTTGCTCAGGGTGGGCTGGACTCATCCCCCAGTCACTGCACCTGCCCCACGCCGCCCACAGTGCTCTTCCCCCATTGAATCCCAACCCCAGTGAGGGAGCACGGGGAGCAGTTTTTTCCTGAGGCCCACAGTCCTGGGGGAAGCCACCTGGTGCCCCCAAGCCCCTGGAAGAGCCAGTCCTTATCACCTCCCTGGAGAGGGTCTGAGGCCAGCACACTCCTGCCCCGTGGGGCAGGCGGTTCTGTCCTGAGGAGGCCATTGCTCAGAGTGCAGAGGTCGGAAGTGAGGAGCCCATCCTGGGCCAGGGGCCGGGGTCTGTGATGGGGTCGCGGGCGCTCACCGTCGCACAGGAAGCCGGCCAACCCCCAGATGAAGTCGGAGCAGAGGTGGCAGAAGGTGGGCTTGGTGAGCGTCACCTTCCGGAAGCTGTGGCCAGACGCGGCGGGGCCTGGGGGCCTGGCGCCCGCCCGCTCCGGACAAGACCCCAGCCCCGGCCCCGGCCCCGGCCCCGCGCGGCCTCTGCCGCCTAGCTCGGGGCTGGAGGCCGGGCTGCCCGGGCGCGGCGAGCTACCGCCGAGCCAGGCACGGGCCCGGGGCTCGGCCGCCGCCGCCATCCCTGCCCGGGCGGCCCGAGCCCCGGCGGCGGGCAAGAGCCGGGTCCGCGCTGCGGATGAGAGGGACCTCCACCTCCCGTCCGACCCCGCGGTCCGCGCCGGGCTTCCGACTGCGCCCGCCGCCACTGCGCAGGCGCGCGCTCGGGGGCGGGGGCCGAGCAGCCGGGGGGCGGGGCCTGGGGGCGGGCTGGGGCGGTGGGCCTTCTGGGGCGGGGCTTGGAGAGGCGGGGCGGGGCCTGGGCTGGGGCGGGGCGGAGGTGGGAGGCCCGCGGGCAGGCCTGCGGAGAGCCGGGGTCCGAGCCCGGGCCGAGTGGGGGGCCGCTTGGGGAGGCCTGGCGGGCAAGGGGGTGGGTCTGGCCTCCGGCCGACAGCCTGCGCTGGGAATCGGGACCGGGTTCCCCGCACGCAGCCTCCCGACGACGCCGGCGCAAGGCGTTTGCACCTGCGGCGCCCAGACCCGCGCCTGCGCAGACGGACACCTCCCACGCGGCACGCCGATCCCGCGGGTGGTTCGTGGTTGCGCGGGGAGGCCCTGCGAGCGCGCGGCACGGCCCAGGGGCCCGAGGGTGGGGTCGAGAACCCAGGCCCGCCTCCCTTGCAGGCCCCCGGCCGTGCGTAGAAGGCCGGGTGCGCGGTCTTCGTGCGCGTGGGCCCTGCCTTACCCCGAGTACCCGCAAATCCGGCCCCTGTCCTCACCACGGATGAGGAAGTCATGAGGGTCCGGGTCAGCGATAGCCAGGGAGCTCTCCCAACCCCACGCCGACGTTGCTGCCCCGCCTGTTCGCAGATGGTGCCCTCTACCATCAGCTCTCTCGTGGGAAGCCCGAGGGGCCAGCGTCCCTCCCTCCGGGTCGTGGCCTCGTGTTCCCGTCGGGGACTGGCCTGTCGCGACGCTCCCCAGGTCATCCTCGACCCCTCCCTGCTAGGAAAGACCGGCCCCCACCGCACCCCCGGGGAAGGCAGTGAGTTCCGCCCGCCAGCCAGCCAGCGGGGCTGAGATGTCTGGCTCTACAAAGGGGCGACGCCAGCACGCACCGCTTTGTTTTGTCCAGGCGGCACTGGGGGGATAGGGGACGTGTCCACGAAGGTCACCCTGACCCCATGGCCTGCCAGAAATCACTCCAGGTTCCCTACTTCTGTGGGCCTGAGCGCAGGCTGCAATGCCAGTGGCCGAAATGGGAATCGTGGGCCAACGGGCTTCTTGGGGGACCCAGAAGGGAAAAGCAGGGGCTGCAGGGAGGGGCTGGCTCCCATGGGTGCGGGGAAGGGTAGAGCCCCAGGGTCCCAGAGGAGGAGAAAAACAGGGTGGAGGATGCAGCCAGGGGAGAATAATGTCCGGGGTGGGGGTGCTTAATGACCACGAAGGCGACCAAGGCAATGCCTGGAAGTGTGCTGGGCCTGCTGGGAGGGCCTGTGGAGGGAGAGACAGGGAGGGTTACAGTGCCCTATTTTGCTGAGGGGGGATTCCAGGTGTGGACAGCAGAGGGAGAGAGAGGGCAGTGCCAGAGACAGGGTCCTGAGAAGGCAGGAGGACTCTCGCCCTCACTCCCAGGAGGGTTCTTCATTGTCCAGAAACTGTTCACTGTGCACCCCGAGCGCTGGGCTGGCATGTCTGCCCTCCTGGAGTTGAGTTCTGGGGCTGACAGACAACAAACTGAAAAATAAACAAGCCTGGAAATGCCACTTAATGTCTTGGTGCTGCTGTGGATGGAGGGAGTCAGGCCTGAGTGCCCAGGAGGAGCTGGGCTGTGGGCAGCAGGAAAACAGCCCAGCAAGGGGAAACAGAGGGTGCAAAGGCCCTGGGGCCACTCCTCTCTCCTTGTTTCCTCAGCACCCCCATTCTGGCTTCAACCCACCCAGCTCCCCGAACCTGCCCTCAGCCAGGTCACAAGTCACAGGTGAGGGCCAGGCCCCAGGTCCGACCGGCCTCCTGGCCCTGGGAGGGTTATAATCTAGCCATGGTGCCTGAGAAGGCACAGGTTTCTATGGAAGACCACTCCTCACCATGCAAACTACAGCTGACTTCTTAGGAAACAGGACCTAAAGACATATCTCTCCATGCGTGAGAAAGTGGAGGGCAGGGGAAACACCTGGAGAAGGGGTATCCTGTGTGCATTTCTACAGAAACATAACTCTGCTCTCTGATGTGGCATGCCAACGGAAATGGCAGACACACTGCCATCAGACCTTCCCGAGAACTTGAGACACCTTCCAAAATAGTTAGCAGCTTCTAGCTGATGCTGAACACATCTGCCTGGAGCATGGCTCTCCTCGAGGATCTGGGTGGCCCGCTCTGCGCCCTTGCTCCTGCAGAGAGCTTTGGGTCTACAGGCTGTCCCTCTCTCCTTCTCTTCTCTCGGGGTCTCAGTAAGCTCAGGAGCCTTAACACAACTCCACAGGCTGGGGGGCTTGACCAACACTTACTTCTCACAGTTCCGGAGGCTGGAAGTCTGAGATCGGGGTGGTGCATGGTCATGTTCTGGTGGGGGCCTCGTCCTGATTTGCAGACGGGGGCCTTCTCGCTTGGCTTCTCACACAGCAAGAGAGAGTACAAGCTGTCTAGCGTCTCTTTTTATAAGGGCACTAACCCCGTCCCATGCTCTTGACCCTCAAATGCCCCACCTCCAAATACTATCCATGGGGTAAGAGTTTCAACATATGAATCAGTGAGAGAATCAACGTCTGTTGTTCAAGCCCCTCAGTTTGTGGTCCTTTGTTACAGGCACCCCCGTCTGTCAGACTCGCACAGAAACAGGCCAGCTGTGCGTTATCTGGCAAGTGGCTTCCGACGCCCCATGTCTTGTTCTGAGCGCCATGGATGGGTCTCTTTCCCGCTGGTGCACATTCAGTGCACGTTAGCAGCTGCCCCGATGTGGGCGCACCATGGTTTATTCTTTCTCCTGTGAACGGACTTGTGCGTTGGTGCCTGACTTGGGCTGTTAGGAAAAATGCTTCCAGGAGCTCTGGTCCATGTATACACACGTCCACGGGAGTACCCTTGCTGGGCCATAGGACAGGCTGTGTTCACCTCTAGAAGAGAATCCCGAAGAAAAATAAACCCACCCCCACCAAAATACTGATGTGTACGTCCACTAGCAACGTAGGAGATTTTCCTCTGCTGCACGTTTGTGACAACCATGGTCTCACAATTTCAGCCTTTCTGGTAGGTTTTGGTGTGGTTTTTCACTTCTGTCCTTTGGTGGTGAGGAAGTCACCAGATCCTTATCACAGATCCACCTGCCCTCTGCAGCTCTTTTGTAAGGCCCTGTTTGTTAAGTGTCTTGATCATTTTTCTGTTGAGCATCTTTTCCTTATTGATTTGTGCTTATTTACATACTCTGGAGATGATTATTTTGTGAACTACAGTCCATTCTCGCCGTCCGCGGCTGCCATGCTCTGGAACCGCGAACGCAGGATTGCGGAGTCTGCAAACACACAACCAGGGCTCCTGGGGAAATGCAGGGTCAGCTTCCTGGGAGGCACTGGGCACGTTTTCATCAACGGATCAACACAGAACCGTGTGTCGTGTGGCTTCTGTTCAAAGGCATCTCATCGACTATACGCTTGAGTCATCAAGGACCCATCCAGCCGGCATCACCGAACCTCACGCCTCAACAAAACCCACCCAGCACGCGGTTTTCTCCGCGGGCCCATCACGGCCTCTGGCGCTTCAGCCCTGGGTGGGACCTCAGGACCACGCTGGGGGGTCGTTATGAACAACGGAGTCACCAGCCAAAAGCACAAAAATGCGGGACATGTGGCACTAGATCAACAACAGAAAGGGCACTTGTTTCCAGGGCGAGCTGAACCGAGAAGGCAGGGCGCCGCCTCCTCCTGTCTCCGCCGGGGACTTCGGGCCACGCTCCGTCTTTGCTGCTCTGGGCACGTCCCCGAACGACCACAGATGTGCCAGGAGTGTTGACTGTGGGCTCACAAACGAGTTTCAGTGAGCAGGTGAATTCGCAAATCTGTGAATATTGAACTTTCCTGCGTCAGCACGGCCTCCTCCACACCAGGATGGTCCTGTTGCTCTCAGTGTGGCTCTGGGTGAACAGGCCTTCCTAAGTTTTCACCTCGTACAACTGATCAGCCTTTCCTTTCTGGGGAGGGCCATTGTGTCCTGTTCAAGCACCTGCCTGCCCTGAGGTCATGGAAATGCTCCTGGTTTCACATTTCTATCTCCTGAGGCCACCTGGCCCGCCTTGGTGGTATGGGAGAGGCAGGGTCCCATCACAGGGACCCGCAGCCTCTCTCTTCAAGAAAGAATGCAAGTCATCATAGAATTAGGTACACATGTATTCAGAATGAGATACGAAATCATCATCTTTTTAAAAATTGACTAATAGCACAAACATTAAAAATCAAGAAAATACCACAATTCTTATTCATAACTGCATGGTACTCCACTAGGATACGTTTTTCATCTACATCTTTTATCGTCTCTTCTTATAACAATTTTTCAACATTCTTTCCAGGGGAAAAGAGGGGAACTTAGTATCTCTAACAAGGTTGATTGAAAACAACGTCGTGACTACTATTTCACCAAAGTCCTCTCTTGACCACTCACTACTCAGAACTCCTATCCTGTTAAGACTGCTGTCAGGTTTGGAGAGAACTTTGACAAGTTGTTTCATTTATAAGCTCGGAAGGCTGGGATATTGCATTTTCTCGTGCTGTGACTCATCTCAAATGCCCTTACGGATCTCATGAAACTTCTTCTGTCGCGTCCTTGTCACATCGGCTGTGAGGGTTCTCCACTATCTTGTTGATGTCGGCATTTCCTGTTAAATCAGCAGAATGTTTAATCCCATTCCAAAAGTCCAGTGTGATTCACTCCTTCTGGCTAATTGCCATGGCAGTTCCTGGAAGCTGTTTTCTGTGCCAGGCTGCCTGGCATGAACTTTGCAAGGAAGTGACTGGGGACAACATGAATATAGTCCATTAAACCCCAGCTGGTGTTTCTACCACTCAGCTTCCCCTTGGCCCCGTCCTGAAAAGGC